CTTATTTGCAAATATTTCTAATATTTGATAATGATTCAGTTATTTCATTGAACATATAATAGCTTATTATTATTGCAGTAAACTCATAGTTTACATTGCAAAATAAAATCACATGTTTGCTGTGCTAAATCCAAAATACATATGTGTTTGTTGTTGACATACTATAAGTATATTTCTAAATTCGTCAATAATATGCATGCCAATATTTAGTAGAGGTGAGCTCTATTCTCTACCTTTTGTACAAAAAATACTCCAAGTTCACCCAATAGTCAAAACTGTTCTTAAGACTGACCAAAGGTTTAGAAGTAAGAGTAAAGATATCTAAAATAAACTTGAAAAGTATAAGAAGTAGTATAATACTCAACTCTATTCAAGAATTTTCTTTAATTTTTATATCTACAGAGCTTATTTCTAATGATAAAGTATATAAAATATATACAAAATATATAATATATATAATATATAAAAGTGCTAATAATCTATAAACAGCTCATAGTCTACTCTTCAACGAAAAAACATATTTTATTGAACTTCTAGTTTTTTTAGTCTTACTCGTATATATTATGTTAGAAAATAGAGTATTATTATATGTATAAAAGTTTTTGCTTTTTATCGTTATTTTGGTTTTAGGAATCATTGAGAAGAGTTGTACAAAAATTTTCTGACCTGTATTACAAATTAAGAGATATGATCTAATTAGTTAATTATAGAAATTGCTATAGTAATAGATTACTATAAAATAATATCTTTAAATTAATATATTTAAATATATAATTTATAGTATATATATAAACAAGTTTAAAGCAAAGTTTAAAACTCAATATTTAGTTCTGTTTTCAAATAGTATTAGTTTAGATTTTAAAATATAAACAAACAGTCTAATAATCTTAGTATAGTAGTTAGGTTACTAGATCTTTATACAAGAAGTCTAAGATTTAAATCTTACTATTAACTAATTTAATAATTATTATTTTTTTTTTTTTTTTTTTTTGTTATTAAGGCCACTTTCTTGACTGATTAGATTTTATTAGTTTGTTATTATGAAACTATCACATGAATAGTTTCCTAAGGTTTTATAGTTATATGATGAATATACAACAAGCTACATATATAACTTTAGTTATTATCTAATTTAAATAGTCTGCTATACAGACGATCAACTATCTGTTAGTTCTACACTATGCTGCTATATCTGCAACTCACCTATAAGTTACCTATTTAAACATTCTGATCATTAACTCTTCTTTCTATTCTAAACTAATATTACCACTATAGCTGACTACTTAAGCTAGCTAGCTCACTCATAGATCTATTTACTGTACAGCTTAGGTCTTCTTGGGATACATATATCTAACATATTGTGAGCCGCAGAGCTCCAGTTAACTTTAGAAGTAAATCTACTAAAGTGGTCTGTACCTATTTTACAGATTCACTTAGTTTAAACCCTTGTAAATATTTATACAACCCTAGTTCCTACTATAGCTCTGTACTAGTTTTCTGTATCTATCTTCTTAAATGTTTCACAAAGCAGATTCTCTCAATTCAGTTAGCTGCCAAGCCAAGTTGGTGTTACTAATTCTCTCTGTGAAATGAATTTATGTATATCTGATTCAATCTACATCTTTTGACAATAGTTTCATTTCTGGATCAAGTATTAGCTAATATGACTATTGAAAGCTATACTACTTCACTAACTCAGATTTCTACTATGCAGGTCTCCTGCTCATAGATTCTATTAAGATTTATTTGTGTAATATTATACTCTCCAAATATCATATCATACTTCTAATATTTAGATAATATTGGTACAACATGATTTATAGAATTACAACTTCAAAAACAAACAGGGTTTACTATAAGTTAAATACAGAGGTCTAGGTAATTATTCAAATTTGTTGATAGTAGAATTTGAACCTTAGACTTCTTGTATGATAGTTTGGCAACCTAACTACTACACTAAGATTACCAAACCTGATTTAATAATTATTTAGACTTCTGTATCTAACTTATAATAAACACTATTCATTTTTGGAATTGTAACTCTAAAAATTATGTTGTATTAATATCAATTGAGTATTAAAAGTATGATGTAGTATTTAGAGAAATATTATATTATATAATAAATCTTGATATGATCTATGAGCAAAAAACCTGTATAGCAGAAATCCTGAGTTAGATAAAATAGTACAGATTTTAACAGTTATACTAATTAATATTTGATCTAAAAAAGAAAATCTACATATAAAAGATTAACAAAATAGATGTGAATAAGTTTGTTATACTTAGATAGCTATAAAAACTAAGATTATAAAGCAATATTAATCTAGTTTAGTAGCTAACTAAATTTAAGAGGATCTGTTTTGTAAGATATCTAGAGACAAAGATAACTAACTTAGTAGAAAACTATAATAAGAACTAGATTTGTATGAATATTAGAGTTGGGGGCATGAGGTTAGGGGGTATGCCTAGAGGCATATCTTTTAGTTAAAAGGCATGTCCTATCATATGACCTTGAGCTAAAATATGATTAGCCAATTAATATAGTCTATTAAATCATTATTTACAAATCTATTGTGATCTTTCCATGATTACTCATGATAATTAATCAATTAAATTGCACATCAAATAACTTTTAAATTTAAATTTATTTATTGCTATTTGCATCATTATAATATGTAATACGTAAGAAATAAAATTTATGCACTAATAAATAATTATAAAAATTCAAAGTCACTGTCCAGTTACTTTTACCAACCTGATATTAGTCTAAACATTAAGTAATAATCAATAGTATATTAGTGATTAAAAAAAGGTCACTGTCTGTTACTTTTTACCAACCTGGTACATACAGAAGAATTTGGGTAATTATTTTGAACCAGTCTGAATTCAAGATTACTGACCAGTTACTTTTTACTAATCCAGTATTTATTATGTCTATGTAATATTAGTCTAGTTACTTTTCACCAACTCAGTATATATAGAAAAATTTGGTAATTATTTTGAACCATCTAGTTACTTTTCACTAACCCAGTATTTATTATATCTACGTAATATTAGTCTAGTTACTTTTTATCAACCCAAACTGGTCTGAATTCAAAAATAATTACTCATAATATACTTAGAAAATATGTAAAATAGAACAATAATAGTATCTATTATAATAAACCTATAAATACCAGCAATAATAGCCAAGTAAGTGCTTTTTAGATACATATATAGCATTTAATAGCTTTTAGATTTGTTGTGAAAGCTTATTCTATACTTTCTTGTAAACTAGCAATAGCATAGAATGATTGTACAATATTATAAAGCAGACCAACTTTGTGATAAAAAGGTTTATAAAAATATACCATTTATCATAAATATTAAAAAACAACCCTTATTAATTCCTTTTAATGTAATTCTTCCAAATAGTCCAATATTATTATTATTGAAATTTACAAGTTATATATGTCATATTTGGAGGTGTGAACGCAATACTATAATTATAATAATTATGATAAATTATGGTATTGCGCTCACTCCTGGTCAGATTACATCTTGTTATTTTTTTTTAAGATAATTTGGAAGTTGGAATTGGTCATTGGCTTAGGAATGAATTTCTATCTTTAGAAATGCTAATTATAATTTTCTGCGAACAAATAGGATATTTAAACATTTACCATTTGTCAAATTTATTTCCAATTCTGAGAGATATTAGATAAAATGAACTTAGTTACAAGGTTTAGAAAGTGTTTGTGAAGGTTCCTTGCTTGAATATTATTTCAACTTAGTATTCTAGCAAAAATTATCTCTGTTCTAAAAGTAGAAACTATTAGCTGTTAGTCAAAGCTTTTAGTATATTTGATTCTGAAAATAGAAAAGCACTTGCGGAGGCATTTGTATAATTATCATTCTAACTTTAGATCTTATGAATTAAACTCGAACCTACAAGTGAAAGTATATCTATGAAGACATTTTGTATAAAGGTACAAAAAACTATTAACTTATTTATGCGGCCTTAGCTACTTTGTTATACTAAATAGTTCAATACAATTCTAAGAATATCAGTTGGAATTATTTTGAAATTCTTTTGCATATTGAATGTTAACACTATTCTAAAGTTGTAAGTGATAATAAATTTTTCTAAATAAATTAATTTGTTTGGCTAGTCAAGTTGTTACATATTTAATTTTTTTACTTTTTGCTTTCTGAGATCTTATACGATTATTTTGCATGAAAGGATCAAATGATTTTTAATATTTACTATAATTCTTGAGCAATGTAAATAATAATTCTATATTAGGATCGATTCTATATATTTAAACTTAATAGACTCTATTTCTTTTCTTTAACAAATATTTATTAAAGTTAATAATGCATTACATACATAATATTATCCATTGCCAATATCTGCTAAAGGTTAATATTTCATTTACATAAAATAGTTAGATGATTGCAGGTTGATGCAAGTTATTATTATCTTTATTTCCCCATTAGTAAAATAATTTTTAAGCCAGCTGAATTGATGAAAAAACATGATAGCGTGATAATATTGTTTTGAAAAGGGTGCAATTAATAGCATGATAAATTAAGTGATTGCAGCTTTATGCAAGTTATTAGATTATGAATTATTTCCCCGTAAGTAAAAATAATTTAATATCAATAAAATCTAAGCCATGCTCAAATTTAGCTGCATAATTAAATTTTCTATTTGGATTATGCATTTTAGCTAGCTAGATTAACGCAAAAATGTGATTGTGTGATTAAGATTGTTTTGTAAAGGGTGCAATTATAGCATAATGAATCATTAGTTGTAAAAAAGAAATTGAATATTATAATAAAAAAAGATATAAAATTAAATAAACACAAAATGTATTTAAATCGCTTTTTTTACCTTGAGCAAATCTTCAGAACTTCATGGTTCAAATAACTATTGCCATAAATAATTGCTTTTTAAAAAATATAACAAATATTTAATAAAGTTTTACTTATCTAAAATAAAATCTTCAAAAAATAATATGGAGAAATCAGTAATCCCGTTATTCCCATTACTTCTGTTACTGTTCAAATTCCCTCAGGCTTTGCTCTTCCACTTCAAACACAAGGCAAAAGTTGAACAGGTTTTTTTCGTTCTAACACAAAAAGAGCAGGAAATAGATATACTGCAAAATACTATTATTGTTTAATTGAACTAAGTAGCAAGCCCCATAAACTTCATAATCATGTTCTTCGATGTAGTGATTGGCCTGCCTCTAAAAAAAACAAATATCTTCAAAAAATAAATGAAGAAGGTTATGTACCCTGTAAATATACCAGTGATAATATTGATGATGAGGATGATGAGAATAATTTATCTACTGAACTATCTATTTATAATGATGATAATGTGTAGCAATCTGCTGTATCTCGCCAAAATACTATCATTAATTAGTGTGTTCGCTCCTTGTCTTTAGTACAGTCCAAAAATCTTAATCAAAAGCTTCTAAAATCCATTATTCATAGAAATATTCCCTTTAATTTTGTTGATAATCTATTTTTCCAAGATTTTCTTCATGATTTAAACCCTTCATACAATCTGCTTTTTCGAAACATGATTAAAGAACATTTATTAACTGAGATGTTTTCAAGTCATCTTCAAGAAAAATTAACTAAACTTTTAACTTTAACTGATTTTATGATTTCTCATGATGGATGGACAGATAATTCTGAAAACTCAATATATAGGTTTATGGCTCTGAAAGAGAATCAAGAAACAGTAATAGATATACTTAATTTATCTACGTATCGTCATACAGGTAGTTTCCTTAAAGACAAATTGAAAGAAATTCTAGTTGCAAATAGTATTAAAATGTTATCCATTATTGCTTGTGTTACTGATAACCCTTCAAATATGAGCAGATTAAGATGATTACTTAATGTAAGTAAATATATTATATCATTTGCACTTATCTAATTTGTATATTAATCTAAATACTTACAATAATTTATTAAATTTAGGAAGAATATCCTAATATAATTTCCATTCGCTGTTGTTTGCATGTTTTTAATCTAATTGTTAAAGATATTTCTAGTTTTTTTGATATCATAACAATTTGTAAAAAAATTAAAAACTCATCAATTTTTTTAATTCATCACATATCTAGTGTTGAGAGTTACAAAACTAGCAAAAAGAGCAGGGAATCAGACATTTTTTAGTTACATTCTGCAAAACTAGATAGTATTCATTAGCTAAGGTTTGCATGAGTATGTTAGTCTACAGACAAGGTTTTTGACACTGTCTTTTATTAAGTGAAAATTCATATCCTAAGTACCCTGAAATTGGAGATGTAGCAGTTAAAAATATTATTCGTGATAAATATTATTTCATGAATAATGATACATTAATACAGGTAATAAAGCCAATAGTCGATGCTATTAGAAGGTTAGAATCAAATGCCTCTACTTTGGCTAATATATTTAAAGAACCTATCTATATATATAAACAAATCTCTAATCTTGAAATTTCTATTAGCAGTCTTCAAGCTCATGCTCTTGCCGTTATTAGCAAACATGCAAGAGAATTCGATAGTAACATTTTCTTTATTGCACGTTTTCTTTCCCAACCTATAAGCGGCTTGCAATATCCAACAAAAATGAATAAAAATAAAATAATTCGTGCTTCACTTGAACTAGCCAAAACTTGGAATATTAGCAAAAAAGATACAATTCTTTTGCTTAATGAATTAAATAACTATAAGAATAATCATCCTCCATTCAATATACCTTTTTTTAATTCTTTATAATTATTATGATTATTTTGGACCAAATTTACTAGAAATTTTTTTCTTTTATACTACTTCGCAATGAAAGTTTTTGCTATCATCTCCTATGTAGCTAGCTATAAATAGCTTTTTTCATCATTAGGATTAATTAAATCAAAAACAAGAAATAGATTAACTTCTGATAATCTTTCAATTATTAGATAGCTTAGAAGCGAGCTTAGAAAAACTGTGTTCATGAAAAAAAAAAATAAAGAAACCTTTGAGCCTTCACTCTAAGAAGTAAGTGTTGACACCCTTTTTGATGAAGATATGTTAACAGAAGAGTTGAATGAGGTTTTAGAAGAAGTCACAGTAGATATGGATGAAACACGAATTATTGAAGAATTTTTTGATTTTGAAGCATTTGAAACAGATCAAGAAACACTTAGCTTAGAGCAAAGTAGTGCAATAGTGGAGGATGAATGGTCTATTGATGATATTCTTAATAATTAAAAATAAAAACTCTTAATTGTTATATCCGTCATTGTTATAATTGCTATAGATAATATTTAAAGTCTATATAATAAAAATATTCCAGTATACTGTACATTTTATAAGCAAGTATCATGAATTATTAAACAAGATGAAATAGACATGGCGTATAGAAAAAAAATATAAAAAAAATACTTAATAAATTAGTAAAATGGAAAAATGTATTTAAGCACCAAAATTTTGTTATAAATAAAGAATAATTCACTATTAAAGTTCATAACTATGGAATTGCACCAGTAGTAGTTTCTCAAGTTCTTTACTTTCCAATTCGTTATTGTATATTTCTTGCCTCTATGATTTGTTGTAAATTCGATAGTTCTGAAAAATAAAGAATTGTCAAATCAAAATTTGAATTTAAATCAAATATTTGATTAAAAATTGTCATATGTAACTCATATTGTGATCCATAATCACTTGACAATCATGAATTCGTAAAACCCCAGTATGTTATAAAAATGAATTAGAGAATAAGAGAAATGAGATAATAGGAAAGAAAATTTAAAATTAAGAACAAGAGCACGTAGCTATAGAACCTGTGATAGCTGTAATAGACTTGAAATATCTAACACCCAAACCAAATTATTCTGCCTACAAATTAGGGTATAAAGTAGATAATTAGTCTTAGTAGAACTGGCTGTACTGAAATTTAGAGTTCTTATTTAAATTAATAATATACACCTACTAAAATCTATATACCTAGTGATATCAGTCCAATAGGTCCAACAAGCTTGGATATTGAAAGTTTACAATGTTCGATACTCAATTAATTATTGGATTAGTTTTTAAAAGTGCCTATATTAAAATTTTAACTAAAGTCTAATAAAATATTCAATAATATATTAGATTAAAGTTTGATTTTTTATAACACTATATAACTGGTATACTTATTAAATTAATAGCACTGATTCTAAATTCTAACATAAACTGAAAAATAAGATTTTAAAAAATTACTCTAAAATTGGTTTAATTGTGCTAAGCAAAGATTTGGTTTGGATTGCAACTCATGTTATATTGAATTAGCTAAACAATGTATATACTTGGATTCTGCAAATACCAGAAACAGTACTATCAAAACTTAGTACCTGTGCCAGACACTATATTTTAATAGTACTGTATCTAACACTTGCAGAACCCTTGTATATATTCAGATTCAAAAAAGGGCAAGATAATATATTATAAAGAATTTAGACTATTTCGAAAAAAGAAAGTTAATAAACACAAAACACGAGTATGATTATCAGATAGTTTCAGTTTATATATAAAAATTTTATAAATTACTATTTTTGTATTGATATATATAGGGGAGCATGTCTTGGAACACAAAGGGGCATGCCCTTTACAAAGGCATGCCTCTTCTGGGCATGTCCCAAAAATTTTTCATACTCCTAACCTTAATAAATATTAAACAAGAATATATATAAGCTAAATTAGAATATAGTATAATATAGTTAAGTACTACAGTATCTATTAATTAAGAAGTTGATGAAAAGATATTTGAGATAGATCTAGATTCTGAATTATAAAGTTTGTGAACTAATATTAGCTCTGTTGATATCATCTCAAAAGGAAAGTAATACAAGGTTAAGTAAATTAAGATAGAATAGTAGGTTAGAAATAGCATATAGCCAAAGAGTTTAAATAGAGAATTTTTAAATAAATTTAGATATAGTAGCTAGTATAAAACCTTTAAATAGACTACTTAAATTAGATAATCTAAAGTTGTATATATGACTAGTTATACTTTCATAATATGTAATTATTTTTTACTATTTATATTAAAAAAAATTTAGCTAATGGTATTTGTATAAAAAAAAAAAAAAAAAAAAAAAAAATATATATATATATAAACAATTTAAATAGAAAAATATCTTTATTTTAAGGTCTGGCAATCTTAGTGTAGTGGTTAGGTTGCCAGACCGCCATGCAAGAGGTCTGGGGTTCAAATCCCACTGTC